AATGTGGCTTTAACTTCTAGATGGAAAGCAGCTGCATTTCAGTCAGCATAACATTAAACTTGTATAAATACCTTCAGTTTTTTCAGGAACTCACAGGAGACCCAGAGAACATCTTTGATCTGTTTGAGCCAGGGGATGGTGAGGTCTTTGGAAAGAGCCAGAGAAACATACCACACCTACAAAAGAGCAGATATACAATCAAAAACCCTCAAAGAACACCAACTTCAGTAATTCATCTGATGCAGCCACCACTGAATCTTTTTAGCAATGTGAAAACTTACTTTTGACTCATTTTCAACTTCCATGCTACTTAAAATCGTCCGACAGAGCTTCTCAAATCTCTGCAGAAGGAAGCAAAGACTCAATACCTCCAGTATGTGATCCAGGAATTACATACAGTCCATTTTAAATTATTAGGAATGCACAATGATATCAGAACCAAACTGAAGTTACCAGATACTCGCTTAAAAAATTGGCTTTAAAAAGATCTTTAGATTTGACTAATATTTAAACTGATACTGGATTATGTATTCATTGTACTGAAGTGCAGAATGTTTAGGTGATGCTGTACCTAAACATCAGCATTTTATTCATTTTATTACTGCATTTGTGGCCCCATAGAAATAAATGTTACATAAACGTCTATAATAAATAAATGTGTCTCTGCATTGCTAATAATGCAGGAAAAGTTCTTGCAAATTTCTACATGTAATAAATGCATCAGGAGATGTATACATAAAAAATATTAGATTTCAGCACATATCAGTGCATTCATACAAATGATGCAAACTGCTATTAAAGCATGAGATTACACCTACCAACTTATCTTCTTTGTCGAATATGAATAATAACTTTCTTGCAATCTTAAAGATGGATAATGCATTTCTTTTCGTGGTTCCTGATTCAGTCGTTGCAAAGAAGTCATCGACCTCTTTCCTGAAATATTGAGAAGAGAAGCACTGAGAAAATAAAAGCACCACAAACACTTTGTTTATTCAAGACATATAGAATACATACTGTCATCTACAAAACTGAGCAAAAGTATTGACAAACTGTATGACGTACTGGTTTACAGCTAACATACAGTGTCAGAAACCACATAATCAAGTCTATTATAGATTACTGAACAACTCCACGTGGTGTGAGGCAAGTATATAATGATTTAGACATGCAGTTAGTAGGGGCTGGGCAATATGACGATATTTAATTGTTATTGTAATAAATTAAGCCACAATACATTTATCTGTGCATATTGTCAAGATCGTCAGCAGGTAAACAAACACTTTCATTATGACGAAAGCATAATTAGTCCTGTTTAATCAGCAAACATTGAATTTAATAGTATTTTTTAATTATGGCAGCACAGGTTTTTTTTTCAAGCTAATTAGTGGGGTTTCCACCAGAATTACTTGATAGCTATATTAGCCTTGTAGCTCCAGTGTAAATCTAAAGAAGCAAAATTTAGAGACCTCACGTCACAACTAGGACTGGACACTGCTCAATATTTTGCAATATTGATACAAATTCCGACACTCTGACTTTGACACCGACTACTGATCAATACCTGTTTTTAAATTCTAAACCAACAGTGGGATTGGCTTAAACCAGAAATCAGTGCATGTGGAATGTACTTTAGACAGCCAATCAGCAGTCTAGATTTCGGGAAACAAGCCTCCTTACAGGCACGCACACGCTGATGAGATGATGGTCCGTTTTTTGACGAAGAGCAGCTGAGAGCTCACCTGATTTCTCTCTGCAGTCTACAGCGGCAGAGGAACCTGCGGATCAGAGCCTGGATCTGTGTGGCCGCTCGCTCTTTCTCTTTATGCCCCCTCCTCTCCTCCCGCGCCAGCCGAGCCTTGTCCAGGAACTGGGACTTGGACGTCTGCGTGGCGCTGAACATCTTTCACTCCAGACAGCGGCTCCACAAGTCAAAGATCAGGAGCTAAGATGAAAGATAATGAAACAAGGAATCATGTAAACATGACACTGAACAGTACGTTTAAGCATGAAACTGAAAGACAATTAACAACAATAACAGTTCATCATACATTTTACATTTGGGTTGTAAAATGTATGATAAATCAATTTGGACTGTTAGAATAAATTATAATCTAAAGGTATGTAATAATGCACTGTAATATAGCAAAGCAAAACTGCATCATGGTGAGCCGGCATTCTATTAACTATGTCATCAAATGCAATTGCACTGTTTGAAACCCAGAGTCTGCAAATGATCAGCACCATTTAACACCTCACTCCAGCACTCCTCCCATATCCCAGCTCTAGTGTCATTAGTAACTTGTGTGTCAACGTGATTACAGTCATAACAGAATTTTGTTAAAAACATTATGAGAAAACCAAATCGTAATGCCAGTATCATGAATCGAAATGAATCATGGGTTGAGTGTATCGTTACACCCCTAACAATCAGTTAGAATATTATTCAATAATGGATGTGTGTATAAATGTTTTGAGGTATGTTAAAATGTAAAAATACAAATCAAAGTTTGGCGTATTGACTTTATTGTCTAGTATCTCAGTTACATCTAAATGAAAAGGTGTAAAACTGGTGGTTTCATGACGCATCAAATAATTTCCTGTGGAAACATAAAGGAGTCATTTAGAGTCAAACTGAATTGTGAGAGAACAGCATTTCTAGGCAAGTTCAAAGGGAAAATAAACATAAAAGAACATGTTATCTGTTTACTAAAGTTAAAAAGGATGAAAAATAATCAGAAAACAAAAAAACAGTAAGAAAGAGAACAGAAAAAAAGAGTAACTAATAAATATAATAAAAGATAAAGTGTGTGTGTGTATATATATATATATATATATATATATATATATATATATATATATATATATACACACACACGCACAAATATACATATAAATATATATTTGTGTGTGTGTATAAATATAGTCTTTTTTTTTCACCCATGAAATGTCATAAAGCAAAGCTTGGTACTGACCCTTACCTTCCCTTCCAGCAGTGATGGGCGGTCCTTCTCGGTTTTGAAGCTCATAAGAGCAGCTACCGAACGTCCACTTCTCTACAAATGGATGTCTTGAGGTCCATCAGGGTCAGCAGAATAGAAACTCTGACTAAAACTTCCTTTTACAAGAGGATTGATGTTATTTCTGTATAAAAACAAAGAACAGTATTTTATGTCATAAAATAACATATAAAACATCTGTCAACAACAAAAAACACAGTTTAAAATGTATATATTGCACTGCTTGTTAGATGGTCAGTTGGAAAGTGACCTTGTCACGTTAGAAAACATTTAACAGTAATTAGTAACATTTTCATAATCTCGTAGAATTTAAATGCTCCATCTTTGTATTTCTAGGTACTAAAATGACCTCTTTACTAATAAAATTCACAAATACAAACTGGAACTCTGTAAATAAATAAACAGCGCTAATTAACAGTCTGACAACAACGTTAGAGGCTCTTTCTGACAGACACAAGCTAACGGCTAAAAACACCACAGGCACTCTAAACCAGACACTGTCTTTATTTTAACGGAGTAAAAAGTGTTTATGTTAAGCAAAATAAGCCTCAGCCCCTCACTGCGTTCCCACCGCGCGACCAGTTGTTTGTAAACAACTCTGAATAAACAGTAAACAAGTAAACAGCCCGGCTAACCCGCTAGCAGGACGAGCTAACGACTTTGGACGCTTTTCATTCGGACCAAACACGGTTGTCATGCGTCGAAAACAACAGAGTGTAGGAGCTGAGGCGAGTCTGGAGCGCAGTGCGGTGGATGAAAGACGCACCGGAGCGCCTGGGAGCTTCTTCATAAAGATAAACCCTGAAGAGTCTCCAAAAACTGCTGGCTGTAATCCTGCGCGGGTGCAGCGCGGAAAGCCTGCTGGATAGAAACCGGAGCGCTGAATAAACGTTCCTACAGCGCGACAACTCGAAGAAGCACAATTTCTATTAAAAACAAATAATAAAACTGAGGTTTAAGATGTTATGTGCTAAAATGTGTAAGTAGTTTACATGGGTTTTTAGACAAAAAATGCTTCAGAAAGAGAATAATAAAGCCTAACAAACTTCAGTTCCTATGCTGACAGACGCTTGATCTTCTCAGAAGTTCCACTGCGGTTCTTTACGTCACTCAGTACTCGGTACTTCTTACTTCAGCTGGTTTTATTTATACATCAGACATTGTTTTATTGCAGTAAAACACCTTTACTATACGCACAGTTTTAGATTATATCCGGCTCTGTTTTTTAGAACAGATTGCGCCGCATATTTGTGGGTTCATTTGATAGTAACATTGTAATAAATGTGTAATACCACAATCTTACATTTAAAACGTCACCATCATCGTTTCATAAGACATTTTAATTGTTTTATTTAAATGTAAACATATTGCACATATGTTTGATTAATATAATTATTATGAATTAAAATATTTTAACATCATTCAATTAAAATTTTACATATACTTTAAAATGTAGCTGCATATGCATATTTTATTTTTAAAATATGTTTTGATTTTAAATAAATGCCAGTTCCAAATAGTTAGTGTTTCTGAGCATATCTATCTATCTATCTATCTATCTATCTATCTATCTATCTATCTATCTATCTATCTATCAATAAATAAATAAATAAATAAATAAATAAATAAATAAACCTCTCTCTCCTCGTGAACGCGCAAGTGCTGGATATTACGGCTCTTTTCATCAAGTCCGAACAATCGGCTCAGTTCACTGATAAGAACCGACTCTTTCAGCTTGAAAACAGCTCTTCAGTCAGAACCGTTGTCGTTTTCAATAAAACACTAGCTTTCAGTTAAGTCATTTTAATTTAAAAAATCAATATGACAAAAAGAAATAAAGAAAAGAAAAGAAAAAAAAAGAAAAGAAAACAAAGGTTTCGGCTCCTCAATGCGAGTCGGCTCCCTTTGTTAACCTAAAAGAGCCGACTCAAAAAGCGGATTCAAAGAGCCGATTCACCGAGCCGACTCGTTCTGGAACGACTCATCAGCAGAACGCGCCCCTCTCCGAGCGGAAGTGCGCGATTCCTCTCAGGTCTCTGGGCCCGAACTCGTCGGGGATTTCTATGGTAAATAACTCTGTTTTTACTGAATATAAAGACTTTAACTCGCGTCTGGGGATACTGTTTGATCGTTTTTAAGCGCCCTGTACTTGAATCGATCATCTTTTTGCTAGTTCGGCCTTCAGAAAAGGTAGTTTGGGGGTCAGTCGCTAGTTAGCTTAGCATACTCGATACCTAAACGATAAGGGTGTGAGTTATAAACAGAAAAGTCGCAGTGATTATGTAGATTTCGGGTGTTAAACGTTTAAATTATACGTCTGTCTTAATTCACTACAGTCCATCCAAAGGCGACAAGTGGGATTTCATACTACGTAGTCAGTGAGTTCGGTAAGAGCTTAAGTGGGTTAGCAGGCTGTAAGTTATCCGGAGTGGAGCTCATAACCTAAATGTGTAGATGGATGATAGATAGATAGATAGATAGATAGATAGAAGAGTCATACATACGTACATACATTTAACTGGGCTGAACTCTTTTTAAATGTTTAAGAAATTTACCACTGTTAGTTGAATCAGCTGGTGTTTTTTTCACGCCCTCACATATAAACCGCTTCTGTGTTTAGTCGCTGTAAAGCTTTACTGCTTTTGGCTGATCTTCCTAATACAGTATAATTACGTGCTCTAAACGTGTGACATGTGTAATAGTACTTGGATCCGCTGTCAACAACAAAGGATCCAGCAAAGTATGACACGGATTTCCACTCAGCAGAGAAAGATTGAAGATATGTGTTATATATGTCTCTATAAAGGAAGATCAGAGTCGTCCAGGAAATGTTCTGTGGTTCTCCATGAATGTAAAGGCTAAACAATAAAAAGCAGGAGAGGAAAACATGCCTTTGAACTTTGGTGCTGGTGTAGATGTTTGAGAGTACCTTGGATGCTTATAACCAAGTGGATTCTTGACCAAAGCCCAGATAACCAAACTAAAGCTGTTCTTTTGCACATACTAGAAAACTGTTCAATTGGAAAAGATTAGACTTGGAACAGAGGACAGGCAGCAACAAGATGGGTGGACACAGCCAGAGGAATCATGAACAAGCCATTAAAAAGCCTGAAGACCCAAATTTAAGACAAGATATTCAGGAGGAACAGTAACCAAATGGTCAGCAGGAGTTGGAACCAACTTTATCATAATAATATTCCAAGTAACATAATCTTTTAAAGGTCTGCGGTCTTCTTAGGGTATTTCTGGTTTAGTGTTGTCCACCCATCTCAGTGTGTGATGTTTTTAGATACGGTCTGATCACCCATTGTGATCTAAGTTTATAGCTGGGCTTTTCTTATTAGTCATGACTTTTCCGTCTCACCTCCGCCCTCCTTACTGTGTGTGTGGCAGGAAGAGATGTCAGGAGAAAGCGTGGTGAGCTCAGCCGTGCCGGCTGCTACAACGCGGACCACCTCCTTCAAGGGTTCCAGCCCCAGCTCGAAGTATGTGAAGCTGAACGTAGGAGGGGCTCTATACTACACTACCATGCAGACGCTCACCAAGCAGGACACCATGCTGAAGGCCATGTTCAGTGGCCGCATGGAGGTCCTCACAGACAGCGAAGGTAAGGACCTGTGGCTCATAACCACTTTTGGCATCTGGTTCTAGATCAGAACTTGCTCTCCTATTAAGTCCTGTATTTTCAGGCCCAGTTCCAATATAGCAAAATGTCTAGATCAGGGGGCAGTAGGGCCAGAATCCAGCACAGTTTGGTGTTTTTTTCCCAGCTCAAATACTCCTAAATACACTTTTTTAGTAGATTTAGGTTTAGTAGGTGTGTTTGAACAGGGAAATCACCAAACCGTGCTCTAGCACCAGAGACCCTTGGTCTAGATTGATCAGTTTAAATGGGTCAGCTTCCTTTGACACTGCCTGTATGTTGATTGGCGAATTGTTGCCATGTTGATTTTGAATTCTGCCCTTTGTTAAGGAAATTGGAGGTTCATTTGGCTGAATTGCAATGCTAGTAGTGATTGACCATTGGAAATCCTTCTTAGTCTGGGTCTAATCTGGAACACGAAACTGACCCTAAATGCACTATATAAAGCAATCAGTTAGTTAAGCAGAAAGAGTTGATGCTCCCATCTCTACTATGATATGTTAATAATGCTAACCAATCAGCACTTTTCCTACAGACGTGGAGCTAGGCGTGTTAAACGTTGATTCATGTCATTACTTTGTCACTACAAAGTCACAGCACTTGCTGTATTGCCTCCTGCAGGCTGGATCCTGATCGACAGGTGTGGGAAGCACTTCGGGACCATCCTTAACTACCTGCGGGACGGCGTGGTGCCTCTTCCAGAGAGCCGGCGCGAGACAGAGGAGCTGCTGGCTGAGGCGAAGTACTACCTGGTGCAGGGCCTGGTGGACGAGTGCCAGGCTGCTCTGCAGGTACTACTCACTTGTTAATACCTGTACAACACAGCTAGAGTTCACCTGCATGTACCAGGGGTCCTGGAAAGCGACACAGTCCAGCACAATTTCTCTTCTGATTTATTAGCGCACCTGATTTGACTGATCAGTGAATTGCAAAATTCAGTTGGGTGTTGGAGTAGGACTGTCCCCAAACTGGCCCCAAACCTCCAGCCCTCCAGGACTTGAACTGATGACCACTGATGTACCTATTATACAGCTTACTGTACAGTAGCACAGGCACAGTAACACATCTGTCAATTCAGATGTGTTGATGTTTCTTACTGGCATATGTGCTTATTGAATGATGTTAAATCTTTTTTTTTCCCTACCAGAACAAAGATGCCTATGAACCCTTCTGTAAAGTGCCCTTGGTAACATCGTCTAAGGAAGAGCAGAGACTCATTGCCACGTCCAATAAGGTAACAGAGCATCATAACCCACTGTATAAGTCTTGGAGTGCTTTAGTTGTATCGTGTGATTTCTGGCTGATGAACTGTTTAATGCTCAGGATTCCCTGCTATATTACAGTAATCACACCACATACTGTAGCTCCATGCACAACCAAATAGCCTTTATAAAATTGATCTGTCTCTCCACAGCCTACCGTCAAACTACTGTACAACAGAAGCAACAATAAATACTCCTATACCAGGTGAGCACGATCTAGATGTACATTTGAACAATGATTCGTCAGTGATTATTAGAGCAAGAACATTAATTTAGTGTGGTAAACGCTAAAAACTGTTTTTAGATCAGCTCTCCCATTGCATAAATAATGCGCCACTAAGTGTACGTCCTAAATCTTTCCTGAAGCCTTAAATACAGGCTGAATTTGCTGTGGAAGCTCCGCGTCAGTCTCACGTTGAACCATAATACCTTCTCCCTCTGTACAGTAACTCTGATGACAACATGCTGAAGAACATTGAGCTGTTCGACAAGCTGTCTCTGCGCTTTAACGGACGCGTGCTCTTCATCAAAGATGTTATCGGCGACGAGATCTGCTGCTGGTCCTTTTACGGCCAGGGCCGGAAGATAGCCGAGGTGTGCTGCACCTCCATCGTCTACGCTACTGAGAAGAAACAAACTAAGGTAACCAGCAGAAAATCCTACACTGACTTGATATACACTTCAGTCTAATAGATGCCAAAAGCTGGATCCTCACAAAAAATATTTTCTGAAAATCATCAGCTCTGAGAGGATTTTTAATATGTTAATTCTGGTACTCTGCATGTTTTACTTGCTCTGAGACAACCAGTCCAGCCAATAAGCTGATGAACAAACCTTTTCTGGATTTGAAGAGGGTGTAGTAAATGTTTGCAGGACAGGGGGCTCCAGGACCAGGGGTAAAGAGGAAATACTGGGCTTCAGAATATTGCACATTCTAGCACATTGTTGCTCTTATATCTCAGAAATAGCAGTTTTACAGGAGAAGGAAAAAAAATGTCTTAACTTTAATGTCTGTTTATGTAAGCAGGTCATTTTAGCTCTTTTATATCCATTCATCATGAAAAATTCACACAACATAAAAGTAGAGTTACTAGTAAATTAACAAAATGTTTACTAAGTGTGATGTTAAACGCTGCTTTCCCAGGTTGAGTTCCCCGAGGCTCGTATCTATGAGGAGACACTGAACATCCTGCTGTACGAGTCTCAGGACGGCCGCGGTCCAGACAACGCCCTGTTGGAGGCCACCGGGGGCGCCGCGGGACGCTCACACCACCTGGACGAGGACGAAGAGCGCGAGCGCATCGAGAGAGTTCGCCGAATCCACATCAAACGACCCGACGACCGCACGCACCACCACCAGTGACCTCAGCAACCCTGTTTAAACTTCAGCCCCTGACCCTGTGCCTTAAAGACCACCAGCGCTTCAGTTATTCCTCCCATCCATCCTCTTTCACAAACTGCGACCGTACACGCAGCGCTGGAGAGTGAGAGAAGGACACGCTTACAATAATATTCCAAGTTTTGCCCTCAAGCTACACATGGCTGTAATGCCGAATCCATTGGGCTCCTCTTTAGTGTCCTTTAGGGGGTCTGTCAGTGCTTCCTCCACGTTTTCTTTAGGGATCCTTATTGTTTAAAATGGAGACGATCTCTTACGTTACATTTGGGAAGCTGTGCCCAGGTTTTGTAACTGAGGTTTCATGAGTTTAAAAAGACAGTGTTTAGGATTCTCTCTAAAATCAAATATTCAGAGACATTTCGGTCTCAGGAGTTAAAATGTGGACCTTATCTGTTTAGTGCTTGACCAGAGACATTCCCTTTGTGTTGAGCCCCAGTTTTGTGCTTTTTTCAGTGAATGTAGCTCATTTCCATACAGAAAGATTAGTATGTGAGCTTTAAGGGTCCCCAGAAACAGCACTGTGGCCACCTTTTGGGCTTGTCGGCTGTTTCCGAACATGAGAAGCGGTCCTGTAAAGTCACTTTTGTTGTTTAAAGGTTGTTGACGCAGTATCAAAAACTGGCGAGCTGCTGATTGGGCTCCTGATTGGGGCTTCAAAGTGGACAGTGTTATCTTTTGGCAGGTTTTGGCATGTTCTGTGTTGTCTAATGTGACAGGATCTTGTTTGAGGTTTTGGAGTATGTGTGAAAAGACTGTAGGGCCAATAGTGTGTGTGTGCCTTAGTTTGTTGTTGTTCTGTCTTAACTGCTCAGCTTGAAAGTGGTTTGTTTGTGTCATGTTTATTAGGAGTCTGTCACTGTGTTTGTGCGTCTTACTCATACTGATGGACGGTTTTTGAGAGATTTGGTTTTCTGTGATGGAAAGTTTAGCTGGTTTATGGTTTTTGAGAAAAGAGATGAAAGAATTTGAGTGGCGTTCCTGCTTCAGCCACCAGAGGACAGCGTTGTGCCTGTGTATTCCAGAGTCTACGTGCTCCTCAACATGAGCAATAACTAATATCAGAAATGTCAGCGTACTGTTTCTTGGCCGCAGAGCTGCGAGATTACGAGATGAAAATCGCGTCTTGTTTCACCACGTGATGTTTAATTAATCGCAGGCAGGTAACGCTGTCTCTCTCCGCGGGTCTGGTTGGTGATTATGCTGGGGTGAAAACTGAGACGTGGGCAGAGCCGATGGCTTGTACGTGGCTGATTTAGTAACAAAGGATTAGGAGGGAACCAGATACTGCAGGTTCTGCTGAAGAAGCACTTCCTCAAAGGAGGCAGGGAGAGGGTAGGTCTGTCATATTTAGAGTGCAGACCTAGATAAGTTGACAGATCAGTTCTCTGGGCCCACATTCTGAATGGATCAAACAGATCAGAGTAAAGGTGCTGATCCAGAATCAGTCTGTGCTACATGTATAATTATAGTCATTACAGTAAGACAAGCGAAGCTGATTCAGACCAGCACTTTCACTCTGCGCAGTTCAGTAAATGCAAATTTAGCTCATCTTCATCACATACCGTCACATTTTCTCACTAGTTTTATTAAAGACATATTTAGAAATGAATAATACAATCTGTACAGATGTGCACTTGATTAAAAAAAAGTTTTACATACTGTTATATTTATACACACCTTATCGTAAATAAAGATTTCTACAGATTTCGTAGATCAAACTTTGCTGTTTTTTGTCCTTTATTTCTGCATTTTTGGTATAAAACTTTATTGTACATATGGCTTCATGTTACAGGTTCAGCAAATGGAACATAAAATATGTAAATAAAACCGAGATAAAGTTACTGATTATGTTTAGCTTTAATTTACTGATATCAGATGTGCTCAGTGTGTCTGGGACTGAAATGTGGTCATCTTTGTGGTCAGCTACTGTGTCCCCTTGTGTTCATTGTTCGCAAGAATGAGAATAAAAACCTTATATAGGCAAGTGAGCTACATTACAGTCATGTGTAAGGCAGTGCTGAGTGGAGCAGAAGGGCATTTTAGGTTTAAGTGATAGCCAAAAAAATACATTTGCACAGTTTTCCCCACTCAACCCAACTGTAGTTGATCAGCCAAGACATTGAGGTTTGCTTCTTTAGTGTTAGCACTGAAGCTACACGGCTAATGTAGCTAACAAGAAGCGTGCACTGATCATGAATTTTTAAAGATGATTCCAATTTCTTTACAACCGAATTAGCTGATGGCTTTTTTGGGCTAAATGAAATGTGCAACACACCATCTTATTTCCAGTATGTTTGGTAGTCTGAGCTGGGGGTGGGCGAGATGACGCAAAATATCACAGTACTTTAAGACATTTTCACGCTACAGGATATGCATAATGATATTTCATTTTTCTGAGATTTAATAAGTTACACTAAAATAATTAACTTACAGCTACAATGATTTTTATTCATGTTTATATTATTCATGTTTTACATACTGCACTGCACTAAATCCACTTAAACCTGCTTAATTATGCTCAGTTTGTAATGAAACGTAGTCTGTCTGTGTTCTTTAAGTACTGACGATATCCACGATATAATCAGAAAAGTGTATTTTGACAGAGTTTATCATGATAATGATAAAGAAGTGTCATATTGCCCACCCCTAGTCTGATTTGGAATAGAAATAATATTGTTGGCTTTTTAATAAGCCAACTGAGATTTTACAATTTACAATATTCTTATTTAAATAACATCAATCAAATAAAATGCTGAACTGAAAGTAAGAGGCGAAGGCTATTTAGCATAATTATGCTACAACATTCTGGTGCAGGTGTAGCAGCAGCATTCAAATACAGCGCTGGTGCAGTCTTTGCTAATTAAGTTTGACGTAAGGGGGAAATTGTGTAAATTATTATTATTTTTTTTATTACCAAACTATTACTTTGAAACTGACATGACTGGACCTTGCAAGATCTATCAGACGTGAGTAGGTATGGATGTGGGGGTGATCAGCTCTGTATGTGTGAGAGGTCAGTGGTCATATCTTCCTCCATGATTCAGCTCATCGAGTCCTCGTCCGAGGTGTGACCTGGGAAACAGATGACAGATGACGTATGACTGTGATGCAGCAAACAGAGCAGCCAAAATATCAGATCAGTCCATGTTATTCCTCTGTTCAGCTCCCGACACACAAGAGCCACACAGATAAGAGCTCAGCATCAGTTGTGTCAGAATAAATATGAAGCATGGATGATAGACAAACTTCTGCGCTGCATACAGCAGGTATAAAAAGTCACTATGTACTTTAAAATGTAACAAAATTTCTGGAAAAAAGAATAAAATTAATATACTGGGTTAGATAAAATAGCCTGGACTGGCCTGGAGCCATTAGAGGCCTCCACTCCTCACTCCTATAACTGAAGAGCAACCAGACATTTTGCATTATTTCTCACATAATTACTGAATAATAAGACTCACAATCAAACAGTCCTGGGAATTTAAGGTGTTTATATTTAAGGGGAAGCCTTTTCCTTAAACCCAGCCTTAGGGTTTTTTGGACACATCTGCACCAACTTTGTACACCTAACTGGATGAACATCTGTCCATTCCTCTTTACACGGCCTGTTGATGCTCTGCCAGTTTGGTTTTCAATGGAAGTCCAGAATGACTAAGCCACTCAAGGACTTTAACATATGAGCCCTTTAGACACTGGGTGGTTGCTTTGGGTCACTGGTGCATTGAAAAAGGAACCTTTTCCCAGTTTCGGCTTGATGGTATTGACTGTGCTACGAGGGATCCCCACCTACTGACTTGTACCTATCTTTGCTGAACTTTATCTCACAGACCGTCTTTGTTTTGAAATGCACTTCTAAGATGTGAAATTACCCCCAAAGTTTCTGTGCCCAGTATGTCTGTGTAGAGCATGTTTTTCTGGATATTCTTGTAAGGATGTAGTTTTTCACTCACCACTGTCAGATGGCCATTCTTGCCCTTGTACACCAGGGGCTCCTGCCCAGTGCTGAAGTCCACAAAGTTCTCCTTTCCTCCTGGATTTCGAACTTTATACTTGAAGAAGATGAAACATTAATCCATTAATTACAGGCCATATAGAGTACAAGGCACTCTACATGACATATTACATATATATATATATATATATATATATATACATGTATATATCGCTGGTGTCTGAAAAAAAACTTTACAAGAGACTTTACAAATGACTTTACAAGAGAAAAAAAAACTTCCTTTATTTTTAATGTAAGTTAATGAAACCAGACTTTTTTCCAAGTCATTTTGGGCCGTTTCTTTTGGTCCATTCATCATGGAATTTACGTACAATGTAAAGGGTAATTTTCAAATTATGTCAAAAACTGAAAAGGAGATACGAGGTTTTGTCCCGACAACAGCGATATAAACCAGGGCGTCCAAACTGCATGCTAACATTGCTGAAATTTAAAGGTGCAGCTTGTGAGATTTAGGGGGATCATTTAGCAGAAAAGGAATATAGTACAGTATAGTACAGAAAACCATGTGAGGGGCATTTGGTTGGTTGTAATCTGCAACTTCACCACTAGATGCCACTAAATCTTACACACTGCGTCTTTAAAAAATGGAAAAACTGCATGAATTCCACCGATTTTTCTGAATTTCTGCACAATCAAATGGTTAAGAACCAGAAACAGAATCATTCAGAGCGGTCTGATGTAAAATACTTTACTCTAAAGACTCTTACAGAGTCAAAACTGCGCACAGTGGAGGTGATCTTTTTAGATTTTACACTATTTTACTATCATCAACATTCCATATAAAACTGGACGAAGACACTGTAAAGAAATTGAGTCAGCAAGTTTTACTAGAATGAAGCATTTCACATCAAAGCACTCTGAACAACTTTCTTTACATCTCAGCCATTTAATTATAAAGAAAATTTGAAAAACTGGTGGAATTCCACTTGAAGCCAAGAGTTCGCAGTGTAGATAGTGTACAGACTATCGCCTGCTAAGATTACTTAACGTTAAAAACTATAAAGCGGCATCACTTTCCTTAAACTTGCCTCTTGTCAAGTATTCAGCATATCTGTTAATCATGTAAACTACATAATTATTATTAGAAGTATTATTATTAACCCATCATAAATCAGAAGACAAATGCACTTGGCTATGTTTCTGCAAAAACAGATTCGCAGATTAACTTTTTGCCCTATTATTCATTTTTTTGAAAATGATATTTGAGGTCTTTGCTGCAAAACAACTTAAAAACACAAAACATTTTAGTCTAGAAAGCTTAATTAACACAAAAGGGATCATATTTGAAATGTTTAACAATCTGATTTTACAATTTTACAAGCTGATCAAACCATGTGGCTAAAAAGTGAGTTATTATAACAGATATTTATCATGATTTCAGTCTTTTGGTCATGTGACTGTTGAATCTTAATAAAACAACTGAAAACCCATATTTGATTCAGTTTTTTATGCATCTTAATTTCAGGTAATCAAATTTCTGCTTGTTGTTCATTCAAAGTATAGCTGTACAAAACTGTACCACTTTAAACTGATCACAACATGTTCTGTGAAACTGCTCCTCATCACACTACATGTAGAATGAATGGGTTGATGCTCACTATCTGGTGAATGATCTTCTGAAGCTCTGCAAATCTGCATAACAGCTGCTTTATTCAAGAACACCATTCATTTTACATCAGACAGGAAGTGATGTCAGAGCCTTACCTTCCCTGAAGCACCTTGATGGTGTTCTGCTTGTTTGCGAGCACGCTCAGTTTGGTCAAAAACTCATAGAGGTGGTCGCACTGAAGCACAAGGTCCCCCTGATAAAGGAGGATTCATTCACTGATATCAGTTACAGCATCATTTGATTCCAAATGACTGACATTCATTAAATTTTATGTCCTTTAAAATTTCAACTCATAAATTCAAAACAAATATCATTTTTGTCATTCTTTTAGACAAAAACTTCTTTCGTGGCCTTGAAGCTGGCTCTGTCAGTACCTTTTGTTTGTGGTCATCATTAGCAACGTGGAGGATCATCATAGTGTCGCCCAGATTACTGACAGAAACACCTGCAGATACATCAGCAGAGCATTTTACAACAACAGTGCAGCATCAGCCTCTTACAACAGGAAACACAGTAATGCACTCTGAACACATCAACATGAAAAATATTCAATAATGTCACAATATGTACAATAATTTAGCAATAATGGAGATTTATTAGCATGATTCAGTTTACAGTATGCTAGCTGACCACCAACCTGTTGGTTTAAAGGGCCCATATGATGGAAAACCAAATATTCCTCGCTTTTGTGGACTAAAATAATTTTGATGTAGTATGAAAACATTGTGAAAGTTTCAAACCCTCCCATTCACTCAGTCCGTTCAGACCTTATATAGATGCTAAAATGCAAAAACAGCCCCTTTTTTAACTTATTGTTTTTGTGATGTCATTAAAAAACAACATATTTACATATTTTCATCCATTTCAGTCTACATCAGTTTAGCTCCGCCCACTCACACCAAGGTTATAATGTGTGTTTCAGTCTGGATGCTTTTTGAATGAGGCACAATACAAGGTAGCCAATCAGAACAGTGTTCATTTAGTCTTAAAGGTGCAGTAAAAAAAGACTAAGTAACAAAGGCTAATTTTTCATGAAGAGAGAAAATGTGAAAAATTAATTATGGCCAATTTTGATATATAAACATAAAAAAAACATA